GAGGACCGGGCGGCGGCGCTGCTGCGGGCGGCGGCTGGCTGGATGCGAGACCTGCGCGGACCCGGCGGCGGCGGCGGCCGGCGGCTCTCGACGCCGGAAAGCGCCTCGCGGAGCGCACGAGCCCGATCGCGCTGGCCATGGCCTCCAACTTTAACGACATAGTCAAGCAGGGCTACGTGAAAATCCGCAGCAGGAAGCTGGGGGTGAGTTGCTCGCTCGGCTTTCTCCTCCTCTGCCGGCGCTCCGCCGCTGCTTTGGCCCGGCTGGCTGGCTGCTGGGGGGCGGGGGGGAGTTGCTTGGAGGGGCCAGGGAGAGGTGACCCGTGCGGGGACAGGGCAGACAGGGACCCGGCCCTCCCGCAGACAGCCCGCTTGTTGCTCGGCTGGGCTGGGGTCGCGCCTGACCGTGGGGCTCTGCAGGCGGAGCTGGGGACCCGGGAGCGCCTCGGTCCCCATCCTCAAGCGCGCGGAGCCCTTTTTGACCACACAGAAGTCCGGGAGACGAAAGGGATTGTCAGTTCCAAAGATGAATGTCCCTCGGAGGGGACTGATTTACAGTGCCATCCACGGTGGTGTGTTCTCAAAAGTGTGAGCCTGTCGGGTGGAACTGCTGTGTGTGCAGACGCTCGTGTGTGTGTGTGCGTGTGTGTGTGTGTGTGTGTGTGTGTGTGTGTGTGTGTTTAGAATCACCATTTTCTGGTGCCCCCTTCCCAGGCTCATTTGGAAATTCTCTTTGGATGCCCCACCAGCGCCGCGCGTCCCTGTCCGCTATTGCAAACGAGTTTATTGTACCGTTCACAGTCGCCCACCGGCAGTCTCCTTCGCCCTGTTTGTGTCCCCCGACACGTGTGCCCGCGCCCGTGTACAGGCAGAGATGTGACACGAGAGTCCGCGGCAGCAAAGTTTATGGAGACGTTTTCCTACTTTCTTCTTGAGAGATGCTCTGCCTGATTTGGGAGGGAAACAGTGTAGACCCCAGGGTTCAAAACTTCTTTAGTGACCAGACCAGGAGGTAAGAGGGACGCACTGACTGCGAATGGGGACTTGGAGTGCGCGCTGGAGGGACGGGAGAGGAGGGACTGGCTCCTGGGCGCAGGGCGGCCCACTTCGGACATAAGGGGTGGACAGAACGACAGGGAGAAGGTCGCTGGGGAACCAGCGATGTCCGGTGGCCGCTCAGACCGAACAGTTCAGAAGAGGGAAGGGAAACTCCATCTGGGGGAAAAAGTGCTTGTTTTCTGGATTCTCTGGTTGGGTCTCCACCTCATCATCCTCAAAGTTCCAATCCTAAGACGCTCCGGCATCCTGGGGCAAAGCGGCCTTGAGCTAGAACATTCCCTGCTTTCCCTACTGAATGAATAAATATTCCAACTTGGAGAAGGGCTCCAAAGGAGGGGAGAACTTCGCTGATTTCCCCACAAAAAGAAAACAAAAGAAAAGCAGCGCTAATGTTGAACAGAGGCATAATAGAATCCCCCAAAGAGGGAAGATCCCCAGGCACCCAGAGGTCGCTTTGTGGGGAGTTAGCGGAGGCGGGTGTTGGAGACCGGAAGGATGGAAAGGCAGACTTGCCTTCTTGTGCTGCTTCTGCTGGGTTCGCATTAAAGGTGCAGACTGTATCCCAAGGACACAGGGGGCCCATTCTGGAACTTGAGCAGATCCGTCGTAGGCTGGGCGCCTGGAAGAGCGAGTGCGAAGCTGGGTGACCACACGCGCCCCCTTTCCCTCCAGGTTGGAGCCCTCATGCGCTGCGGTGCTCCCCACTTGGGTAAGGGAGCAGGCGCTGGGTTCAGACCTCAGCAAGGTTTCACCTGCTTTTCTTGGATGGAAGCAAGCGCCTCCTTCTTTTCCTGGGAGATAAGGACGGACCCACGGGAAAAGCTGCGGTTGTCCAGCAGGCCGGTTGTGACTCGCAGTCGGGACGCAGTGCTCAAATCTGTCACCCGCACAGCTGTCCGCAAAGAAAGGAGACAGAGACGCGGAGCTGGAGCTGGAGGGGAAAATCGTCTTAACTTGACCTTTGAAGCCTTTTGCTCCCTGACGGTGGGCTTGCTCATTCTTGTCGACCTTCTGTCCTCTTGAAATGTAGTTGTGCCTGACACTTCAGACTGTATGAACTAATGAATGGATTAAACCTTCAGGCGAAATGTGAATCTGCTTTCACGGACAGTGTGCACGTGAAAATAGACCGAGTATCCCCTTCCTTGGCCCTGGAGTTTACAGGATTCCTCCCTCATCCAAGCTTTCCAGGATATCATACAATAAAAACTGACATGCAGCCTAATTATAAGCTAGGAGCCAAGCAAAGAGCATTGAATGTTTGGGGGGGTAGCTATAGCCTTAATAGCCTTTGAAATATCATTTTAAAACACCATTTCCGCCTAACTATGTGTACAGATGTACATTTACTCCTACATTTCCAAAGCCTCTTTATCTACCTTCAGTGCTTAGCGGTTTGCCTTTGTAAAGTGCACCTTCATAGAAACAATAAAAGCGTGTCTATATACAAATGTGAACTTCAAAGTTTTGTTGAAACAGTTTAGCTTAATTTTAATATTAAATCAGAATATTAAATTCACCTTGACTATTTTGTAGAATATCATTTATATTTAAAAGAAACCTTTAGAGACTTTTCTATTTAGAATATTTCTAATATTCAGAAGAGTGAATTCAAATGACAGAATATCACACAGATGATTCTGTGAAGCTTGTTGAGTCCTGCAGAATAGTAAAACTCTAAGCAAGTACTGTGTGCCTTAAAAAGTCATACCTCAAATCATACAATTGGAATTGGGATTGTGCAAACATTAATATTTTCTTTGTACAATTAATAATACATAGTCCTAATTGTATGGACTCAAACTTTTCTAAATAAAATATTATTTTTTAACTCTAGACACATGGTGTTTCTTAGATAATTTACTTGCAAAGTTAAATTTTAAAATATGAATAATTCCGATTGATAATTCCATTTATAGATATTTGATTTATTATGGAGAGGACTCATGGTTTCAAAAACCAAATGCTGCAGTATTCGAATGGAAAAAACAAAGACTGGGTATGAGACCAGTTGCATCAGAGATAATTACTGACATGAAATATAGTTTATGATGAAATGCTGTATGGTACCCTTTACTCTTCACAGATTACTGTTTGGTGTAATTCCGAATGAGGGCAAGAAGGTATTTCTTGCTGTCTAGGCAGTGAGCCAACCCTTGCAGAAGTGTTTCTCAGTTTAAATGTTCAAAAGGGCTCTTGTCCTCTGTCTCACTAGGGAATACTATCAACCTGTTGGATACAGGTCCTCAGCCCACTGCTTAGGCAAAGCAGTGTGTTAAATAAATTTTGAGTGTCTGCTTTGAAATTTGTCTTGACTAATTAATCTGTTCTTCTTCCATTTAGGAAAATAATTTTGTGAAATAAATAGAATCATTTGTGTAAATTTGACTTTTGTTTTTTAAAAATGTTTATTCAGTCATTACATTTATATAGGTGTTTAGGATGTTAAAGGTATAATGACATGACTTCTAAAATGTCATTCATTTAAATGATGTATTAAATTTTAGTTAAAATATATTAGTGTTTCCATGAATATATTGTTTTCCTTTTGCAAGATTTAGATTTTGTCTAGTTCTTCTACTCATCTTATCTGTTACATGATTGGTATTATAATAAAGGTACCATTGTGGCCAATTTTTTTTACTGACACTATTAAAAACAACAACAACAAAAGCATATTGGTCAACAGTGTGTAACCCTTAGCCTTGATTGCCTATTTTATTTTGATTCCTAATGGGTTATGTTTAGTAAGCAATGCATATATTGCAAAATGTCCAATTTGTTCTTGCTTTGCAGCCAAACTAAAGACTCAATCACCAAAAACATTAATAACGCGATACCTGTCTTATTCACTGTATAAATCTATCAAAATTAAGTGCAGCATTCTGGAGTGATATCTTTGTCATCACAGTTATCATCATGAACATCATTGTAGAAATTCAAGACTACTATAATTTGTTTAATTCTAGACTCAGGCCTCATATCATTGTTTTCAAGGAATTCCATTGAAGTACATCAATGTGCAAATTCACAGACACTTTGTGAATGTGAATCATATAGGCAAAATAGTGTGTTATACAGACTTTTCCTTTTTATTTAGCAAAATTGGTATTAGTATGTGTGGGTGCTAGAAAAATGTCTCAGGATAGGGTGGCGTGTGTGTGTTTTCATTTACACACACATTAAACAAATTATCAAAATATCTTAGAATGCCTACTCTATCAGTCAACCTACACTGGTCTGTTTGTATGTATGTATGTGTGTATTAAAGTCATATTGAATTAAGCCAGGATTATTTACAATAAATAATGCCTTCATTATAACAATTGATAGTACATTGGGCCAGTAATAGTCACTTTACTCCAACCTGACTGTAGAGGATGCAGGGAAACGTGAAGGAACACATTTGGAGTGTTGATGAGCACTAACATTAGGAGTCTAACACCTATTCGGAATTTTACTTTTTGTATATTTCCCATTTGTTTTAACAACTTATTGTGGATTGACCTCCCTTTTGCCCTTTCTCCCTCTTCAATTAAAACCTCATGACACCTCCATTCCTGGCTTAATGATTATTGATCTCTTTTCTGTAAACGTTGTGAGTTTTCCTTTCCTTTTATAAACAGCTTTCCTCTGCTCAAAATAGGTGGAGGAAAGTAGGTGTTCATGAGAGATGTTTATGAAAATTTACCCTTTTATAGAAGCTCCCTCATAATAAATGTAAATGGGTGCATGTGCAATTTAATAGGTGTTTTTTTTGTTTTGTTTTTTGTCCATTGGAGCACTTCAACATTTCTTTAGTCTCTCAAATCTCTAGAAAATATTTTGTGAAGAGAGATTATATTTGGTACTGCATTCATTACCAATTTGCCAATTATATGCAGTAAATATATTTAAGATAAAATGTATAGATAACTTAATAATTCTGGCCATTCAGAAGTTCAAAATAAATTTCAGGATCATTACTTCATATGTGAATTCCCAATCTAAGAATTTTAGATACAGAAGTTGTGATAAGTGTGTTTAAATTTTTGTTCATTCTAGAATATTATGAATTCTGTGCATTGCTTTCTGAAATATATCTGTGATATTCATGTTTATTTATCACTCATGTCTTTCTCACTAAATAGGGATTCGAAATGTAA